CACCAAGTCCCTGCTTGCAGCTACATAGCAAACTGGAGGTCAGCCTAGCATGGGAATCGTGCCTCAAACAAAGACAAAAATAAGCTACACACACACACACACACACACACACACACACACACACACCAAACCCAATGAACTCTGCGCAGGCTTCACCAAGCACAGTGAAAGGAATTTGGGCAAATCTCTAAACCATTCTAAGCCTCAATTTCTCCTCTTGTAACATGCTGGGAATCGGGAGGCCCAAAGGAGACAGAAGTTTATAGAAACACAGAAACATTGCTGCTGTAGCTGTGGGGTGGGGAAAGAGGGAACAAGTCAGGGTAGAGTGAGGGTGGGAGGTTCCTGAGAACATTTATGTTTGAGTGGAGGGACAGGTGCATGTACCCACTGTCTGTCCTCATAGGGTGATCAGAGGAGAATTAGGACCATCCCAGGCCAGCCTGGAGGGACTTTTGTCTTGCTGAATGAGGTTTGGCTTCCCTTTAGGATCTAGAGGCTAGGTGGTTCTTGTCTGTGTTTATTGTGCCAATAACTAACCCTGAGTAACTCTTCACACACACACACACACACACACACACACACACACACACCCTACACATGCATAACACTACACACACACCTTGCACACACACCCTGCTCACACCCCAGGAAAACTGCATGGAAATGGAGGGGCATCTCAGAGCCCCAACTCAGCTTCACGCTCCTTCACTCACTCTGACTGGGTCTCAGCCCCTTTGTAATCACGGGGACTCAACAACTTTTCCTCTCCTGAACCTCTCAACCCCTAAATTCCAGAAATGTCACAGTCTTGGTACCTAGACTACTGAACATGATTTGCTGCTTGCTCAGCTCTATCACTGATCTTCAAGTGACAACACACTGGCTCTCGGGTTCCGGCAGAAGCTGGAGCAGAACAGAGAGACACCTGGAGCCAGACAAGGTTGGTTGAGATCGTGGCTGCACTCTAATAGCTGTGTGACCCCCATGCAGGCCAAGGAGCCTCTCTGGATGTCACTCACACATCTGGACAATGAACATGCTTGTGTGTCATTCCTTGGGCTTCCCCTAGTCTAGGCCTAGATATGTGCATTGTCTAATTCAGCCCTTTGAAGGTGTTCTTTTTCAGAGAGTAATAACCACAGAAGGTGCCGGAGAGAGGGCTCAGTGGTTCAGGGCCTGCTGTTCTTCCAGATCTGAGCACCCACGTTGGGACGCTCACACCCACCTGCGAGTCCAGCTCTAGAAGGACCTAATGCTTCTGGCCTCTGTGGGCACCTGCATTCATGTGTACAAACCCACACAAATATACCTACTCAAAACTAAAAAATAAATCTTAAAAATAAAAGCTGTTGTATGCGGTGGCACACGCCTTTAATCCCAGCACTTGGGAAGCAGAGGCAGACAGATCTGTGAGTTTGTGTCTAGCCTGGTCTCCAATGTGTTCTAGGCCAGCCAGGGATGCATGGTGAGACCCTGTCTCAATTAATCAATCAACCAGTCATTTGCCTGAATAAAATAGCGTAACAGTTATGTCAAGACAAAGATTTGAGGGACTAGCCCAAGCCATATATTAGAGGCAGAGGTAGAGTCAGGATTTGAACCCGTAGTCACCGGACCCATTTACTCTAACCATTCTTTAAGCCACCACTGTTTTTTTTTTTTTTTTTTCGTTTTTTGAGACAGGGTTTCTCTGTGGCTTTGGAGCCTGTCCTGGAACTAGCTCTGTAGACCAGGCTGGTCTCGAACTCACAGAGATCCGCCTGCCTCTGCCTCCCGAGTGCTGGGATTAAAGGCGTGCGCCACCATCGCCCGGCCCCACCACTGTTTTTTAAGTTTTTCTTTTGTGTGTGTGTGTTAGTGTTTTGTTTGCATGTATGTTTGTGTACTGCATGTATTCTAGGTGCCAACTGAAGTCAGAAGAGGGCATCCAGTCCTCAGGGACTGGAGTTGACAGTTGTAAGTTGCCGTGTAGTTGCGGAGAATCAAACATGGGTCCTTTACAAGAGCAGTGTGTACTCTTAACTGCTGGCCCGTCTCGCCTGCCTCCTGGAGCTTCCGTTCTTAACCAGTTCCAGTGTAGCTGCTGGGATTACCAGGAACCAGGGATGTGCGCTGGGGTCCTAACTCAGCATCCAGCATCTCTAGGATCCTCCTCAAACATCCTGCTCTGGACTCCAGCAGGGCGACCATCCTTGTCACCCTAGCAATGAAGTGTACCATATGGTGAATGCCATACCATGATATGGCAAAGTTTGTCAAAGCTGGACCCAGGAACTTGTCCTCTAGCAGCAAGCATTTGGCTACCCTTCAGTGACTTTGCAGGCTAGGCCAGCTGTACCTTGGCCACAGCTGTAGAGAAAGGACTGGAATGGGACCAGCAAAGGAAGAGGCCAGACAAGACAGAGGCAGATCCTAGCCAAATGGGCCAGAACAGGGATGCTGGAATGACCTGTTGCCAGGGACCATGCTCAGGGCCACTATTGGAGGGAGCCTCTGCTCTTCCTAGGAGTCGATGAGGCCTGGGTGCATAGCCCCCCACCCTCCACCACACTCCAGTTGGCATAGCAGCGAAATGGCCCGTTGGGATGCAAAGGCAGATTGTGTGATGGCCAGGAAGAAAGGAGGTCAAGTTTATCTTTCAGAGCCCAGCAGAACCCCAGAAACACAGACTTCCTGGTGGCTCCATCTCCAGCCAAAGTCCTTGCCTTGGAGCCAGCTCTGCCCCTAGTCTGGCCAGCAAGACCCAGCAGAATGCAGGGAGATGCTATGGCCTGCCCTCTTGACCAAGGATGCCAGGTGTGTGCAGTGCACCTAGTGGGTGTCAGGCTCTGGGGTCACCCTGAAAGGAGACACATCCTTCCACCACTCCTGGGGTCATGAGGGACGCAGAGGCCAAGCAGAGCAGGAGGCTTCATCTAGAAGAAGATGCAGGGTCTTAGCCTGCACAGCTAGGCCTGAGCGCAGCACTGAGAGACAATGTAGGAAGAGAAATCACCCTAGCAAAGGCTCAGAGGAAGTCAGGGACAGAGACACTTAGGCCTTCCACAGCTGCTGAGACCAAGGATGTGGATAGGGTTGTGAGGAAAGGCGGAGGGGGAGGCTGGGCCAACAGAGGTTTCTGTAGCTAATTTGGTGCCCACGCTTGGAGCCAGGAAGGCCTGGGGTTGGAAAGACAATCTTCATTTAGTGAGCAAGAAGGGTCTGAGTAAGCTTCCCGGGGTGTGTGTGTGTGTGTGTGTGTGTGTCTGTGTCTGTGTGTGTAGCGGTTACGGGAACTGCTGAGCTTGCTTCCTGTAGGCTAGGACCAGAGGATGCAAGAACAGAGACGATGGGAGGTCAGAACGGTTAAAGCTGGGCTCATGTGCCAGGCAGGAGCAGGATCTGGCATGGGGTAGGGCAGCGGGAGGCCCTCATCTCCACTCTTGCCTCAGTGCAAGAAAACACGGGCTGCAGCTCAAACAAAAACAGCCGGGCAGCCTCCACCCTGCCTACGGAGAGAAGGCTGCATCTCCAGACGCTGCCCCCAATGCCGGGTGCGCCCTATTACTCTTGGGCTCCAGGACCACCCCAAACCCCAACACCTGTTCTGACCACAGAGCACACAGAAGATGAATGCGGGAAGGTCGAGGGGTTAAAAAGCAGGCTCAGGACTTGGCAAGTCAACCTACCAGAAGGGAACTGCCTGGGCTCGGAGCTGGCACCATGGAACAAGGCTTAGGGGCAAGACAGAGGTTCAGAGCTGGGACGAGCGCCACAGACCCTTCCAAATGCAGCAAGGGCGTTGGCAGCTCCATGCAGTCGCGCCACCTTGCTCATGCGGAGGGAGAGGTCGCTGTAAGTGCAGCTGGGTTGTATGGGCAGGCAGGGGATGTGTGGGAGCCTGACAGGGGTGAGAGGGAGACTGCCCAGAATAGGGCTTCAGACGGTGCCAAGGTCTCAGCCTGGAGTTTGTGACTGGCTCTGTAGATCCCCCAACCCTACCCCAGCCAGGGTACAGTCCCTCTCCCATCCCCACCAGCACCATGTAGGTACCTAAGATACAGGCACGCATCCCTCAAGGTAAATCCTATTGTCCCTGTTTTGTGATGGAGACACTGAGGCTCAGACATGCGCGTAATCCTTTGTCCAAGACCGTTCACTTCCAGCACCCCTGTCTACCCAGAGTGACAGCAACGGAACAGTTGAGAACACCTCCTGCGCCACTAGACTGAGGGACTGGCGCCCTAGAGGGACAACCAACAGCAGCAAGGACTACCACCTGAAAGAGTGAAGGCCACGAGGGTGCCCAGCTGGAGTGGCTAAACAAAACTTGCCAGGGAAACCCAGTCACGCTCACACCTTAAACATAAGCTCTGGCTTCAGAAGGCAGCTGAGCCGTCGGGTCTGACGGAGAAAAGCCCTGCGGTGGGGAAGGAGAGGAACCAAGCCAGCCCAGAGAAGGGAGCCGGGTACCCTCGAGGTGGGAAATGTGAGGCTGAGCTATGCCAACTTTGGTTGAGTTTAGCGTCCCCCCCTAACACACCCAGCCTCCAGGGCGTCGTCGAATGGGACAGAGGCACCCTGACCAGCTCTGCCCCACTTCAGGGAGACTTCTTCCAACGGTGATGGACGAATCCCCCAACTGAGAGACCACCCAGAAACAGAGACAAAAAGATACTGGGTCCCAAACCGAGAAGGCTAAGAGTGAAGGACCGCGCGCGAGACCCAGAACCCCCGAGAGGGAGGCAAGGTCGCACGCGAGGCAGAGTGGCGCAGAGCACGGAAAAGTGAGTGTCCAGTCAGGTGCCAGGGGGTAGAGCAAGCGGCCTGGGACAGAGCCGAGAGCTAAGGGAACACGAGGTCCGAAGTGGACAGGAGACCGACGGACAGACGGACACGAGGGTCGGAAAGCAGGAGGAAGACAGCATCCTCCCTTAGAGCAGGTAACGGACCTTGGTCAGGGCACTCCGCCAGGTAAGCGGAGGGCGGGGCCAGGGGCGGGCCGAGCCGGGTCTTACCTGTCCAGCGGCCGGGGAGGGGACCGAGGACTCAGGGCCGAGCGCCTGCGGGAGCCGAGCACAGCCGAGGGTAGAGCGGGACGGCGCCGAAAGGTGCTCGGGCGGCGGGAGACTGCGCGGGGCTGCGAGGGAGGGAGGGAGCGAGGGGCGGGGACGGCGCTCGGGGAGGGGACGTAGGAGGGGCCGCGGGGCTTCGCGACCCCCCGTCGAGGGCCAGCCCCTTGCCCGGCCGAGCCCGGTGCGCTGCGGGCGCCGCGCCCTAGCCAGCTGCGCTAACCGATCGCCGCCCGCTCCCCCGAGGCCTTGGCGCCGCCGCCAGGGCGCGGGGCAGACAAAGGAGGCAGACAAAGGCGGGCGCAGCCCCGCGGCCGCGTGGGCACCGGGCGAGGCTCGCCCTCTCCTCCCGGTGCGTAAGAGCCACCTTAGCGCGGCCCGGGGGCGCGTGGGACGGGTGGGGCACCGGGCAGCGGTGGCACTTCTGGAGCGGCCCGGCAGGGGAGCGGGCAACAAAGGGCAGCGGCGGGGTGTCCCTGGCGGACCCCTCTCCCCCCCAACAATAGGTCCAGGCTGCGCGCTCAGCTGCAGCAGCGTCTGACGGGACAGGAGCCGGCAGGGTCCCCAAAAGGATTATTCCGCCTAGGCTGTCAAATGGGACGGAAGAAATGCCCGCGGCGGGGAAGGCGGGACAGACAGCCGGCGCGGCCTTTGTAGCCCAAGAAAGTACGCGGAGTGGGGGAGGTTCTCAGAGAAGTCCCTTTACCAAGAGGGTGTGCATGAGAATCTCAAAGTGATCGGACTTCACACACACACACACACACACACACACACACACACACACACACACACACGCCGGTCTTGCGCGCTACTCATTCGGGACAAAGCCAGCCCTCCGGGCGGCTCATCCATCACCGCGCGGGGCGCCGTGTCCTGCCGACCCTGGGAGTCCGAGAATGCTGGGTTACTGGTCCCACGGCCCTCATAACTCACAACCGGGTCAATAGGGCCTCCGGCATTGCAAAGATCAAAGAGTAGTGGGGCGGACCCGGCACGTGGGAAGCGGGAAAGGCTTCCATTTCCAGTGTGACAAATTGTGGCTTAGATGCTTAGGAGCGCGGCTCGACATCAGGCAAGATGCCTGTGTTCCTCCTCCAGTGCCAAACGTTGGGCAAATTATCTAACTTCATTGTAGGGAACTCGGGGATTAAGGATTAATGGCCGTGGTCTGTATAAGAAAAATGTTCTGAACCTCCCAGCCCACAAGAGAGGCTCCGGGGAAATTAATCCATTGTCATTGTGAGATTATCACATGACCATGGTGGGCACAGAAAGGCTTGACGAGAAGACTGGGTGCTTACTAGCTGGAAGGTTCAAACCACTGCTCCTATTGAACACAGCTTCGTTATGTATGACTCCGGAGCTTTCGAGAATGGGCGGCACTAGAGTAAAAAGCAAAGCAGTCTAGTTCCTAGCACCCACAAGGCAGCCCATAACCACCCTCAATACCAGTTCCAGAGGATCTGATGCCCTCTTCTGGCCTCCCTCTTCAGACACACATGAGGTGCATAGACAGTCATGCAAGCAAACATACATAGAAACAAATAAATCTTAAAACAAAACAAAAGTGCTGGGCTTACAGTGCATACTTTAATTCCAGCCCTCAGAAGGCAGGGGTAGATCACTGTGAGTTTAAGACTAGCCTGGTCTATACAGTGAGTTCCAGGACAGCAGGTGTAGAGGTATCTTGTCCCAAAAAACAAACAAGCAGTTTGGCACAGCAGTTAAGAGCACTGACTAATCTTCCAGAGGTTCTGAGTTCAATTCCCAGCAGCTACATTGGTGGTTCACAACCACCTGTAATAAGATCTGATGCCTTTTTCTGGCATTGTATACATAATAAATAAATCTTAAAAAAAATAGGGAGAGGGGCCAGGCAGTGGTGGCACACGCCTTTAATCCCAGCACTCGGGAGGCTGAGGCAGGCAGATCTCTGTGAGTTCGAAACCAGCCTGGTCTACAAGAGCTAGTTCCAGGACAGGCTCCAAAACCACAGAGAAACCCTGTCTCGAAAAAAATAATCAGGTGTAGTAGGTGAGTGGATTGATATCTGGGTCTTAGAATCAGTTCCATTAGTCCTCCTATCTGTNAGAAAAACACAGTCCTAAAAGCTACCAAATAATAGTTCAACATCTACAAAACAAAAATTTTCAACATACTGAAGCACTAAATATTACTGGCACAATCCAGTTTCAGGAATTTTGTGATCAAATATTCTAAATCTCCTTTGCATGCTGAGGCATAGTCTCAGAGCTTGGCATATTCTCCGTCATACTTTTCTCCTGAGCTGCTTCCCACCCAGCCCTGAGTGTCTTCTTTGTGTTCATGTATGTGTGAGTGCACAGGTTCATGTATGTTTTATGTATGGGGAGAGGTCAGAAGACAATCTCGTGTTGTTCCTTGGGTGCTGCAATGGTTTAAAAAGGAATGGCCCGGGGCTGGAGAGATGGCTCAGTGGTTAAGAGCATTGCCTGCTCTTCCAAAGGTCCTGAGTTCAATTCCCAGCAACCACATGGTGGCTCACAACCATCTGTAATTCTATCTATCTATCTATCTATCTATCTATCTATCTATCTATCTATCTATCTTGCATACAGTATTCTCAGTACTCTGCCTGCATGTCTGCCTGCTGGGACATGAATGCTGGGAATTGAACTCAGGACCTTTGGAAGAGCAGGCAGTGCTCTTTAACCTCTGAGCCATCTCTCCAGCCCCCATCTGTAATTCTTTAAAAAAAAAAGACTGAAATCAAGAACTGAATTTATTAAAAAAAAATAGGGAGAGCAGAAAGGAACTATAGCAGAGAAGCTACTACATTTAATCTTAAAAAAATAAAAACAATGTGTGTGTGTGTGTGTGTGTAATATCACAGCCTAGAGAAATCTTGTAAATATTATGCTTAGCCAAGCAAGCCAGATATAAGATGATACAGAGGTTCAACTGCATTTTTGTTTGCTTGGTTTTTGTTCTGTTTTTCAAGTCAGGGTTTCTCTGTTTATCCCTGGCTGCCCTGGAAGGGAACTCACTTTGTTGACCAGGTTGACCTTGAACTCAGAGATCCACCTGCCTCTGCTTCCCCAATGCTAGGATTAAAGGCCTGCAACACCAACACCTGATGCAAATTTCTTTGTATTTTGAGCGTTTTAGTTTTTGCCTGTATGTATGTTGTGCACCATGTGAATGTAGCTCCCATGGGGCCAGAATAGGGTCTTGGATCCCCTGGAACTATAGTCACCAAGAGGATGCTTGGAAGCAATCGGGGATCTTTTGCAAGAGCAACAAGTACGCCGCCGGGCGGTGGTGGCGCACGCCTTTAATCCCAGCACTTGGGAGGCAGAGGCAGGCGGATCTCTATGAGTTCAAGACCAGCCTGGTCTACAGAGCTAGTTCCAGGACAGGCTCCAAAGCCACAGAGAAACCCTGCCTCGAAAAAAAAAAACCAAAAACAAACAAACAAAAAAAGAGCAACAAGTGCTCTTAACTGCTGAGCATCTCTCTGGTCCCTCTTTTTTAAATTAACATTTATTATTTTTTAGATTATTTATTTGTATTTTATGTGCATTGGTGTTTTTTTCTGCATATATATATCTGTGTGAAGTAATAGACAGTGGTGAGTCCCCATGTGGGTACTGGGAGTTGAACCCAGGTCCTCTGGAAGAGCAGCCAGTGAACTTAAGCGCTGAGCCATCTCTCCAGCCCCTATTATTATTATTTGTGTATCCAAATGCATGCATATGTGTGGCACCATGCATGTGTCGAGGTCAGAGGACAGCTTTTTGGAGTTGATTTTCACTTTCTACCTATGTGTTCCAGCTTGTTGGCCTGACTTGTTGCTTATTGTTTTGATTGGTGAGAATGTTCTGGAATAAGGTAGTGGCTGATGGCCCAACTCTGTAACTGTCCTAAAATCTGCCGAAGTATATACAGAAAAATGCAAACTTTATAATTTATGGATTACTTTTCAGTGAAGTAGTTATTCATTAGCCGGGTAGGGTAGTGGTGGTGCACCCCTTTAATACCTGCTCTCAGGAGACAGAGGCAGATGGATCTCTGTGAGTTTGAGGCCAGCCTGGTCTACAGAGTGAGTTCCAGGACAGCCAGGGCTACATAGAGCAATCCTGTCTCAAAAAACAAACAAAACAAAACAAAAAGTTATTTATTAAAAAGTGGTAACTGAGAATGGTGGCCTCAGAGAGGGCCCATAGGACACACAGTAGGGCATACAGTGTCTCTGCATTTCTCTGAATGGAAGTTGCTACAATAAACCTTGCTAGTCACTGTGACAAGAAACCTGAAGAACTAACTTAAGGGAGGCAGCATTCATTGACTGACGTTTGCTGAGGGCTCGGGGCATCATCAGGAAGGGCAGAGGTGAGCAGTCCACATGATGGAAGCTGAGACGTTCTTTCCATACCCAGGCCCATGGAATAATGCAGATGTGGACCTTTCTTGCCTTCTAGAAATACCCTCCTTATCCAGGTACTTTTTCCTTTTCCTCCTCCTCCTCCTCCTCCTCCTCCTCCTCCTCCTCCTCCTCCTCCTCCTCCTCCTCCTTCTTTCTTCCTCCTCCTCCTCCTTCTTCTCCTTCTCCTTCTCCTCTTCCCCCTTCTCTCCTCCTCCTCCTCCTTCTTCTTTTCCAGACAGGTGTGTCTGTCTAATCACCCTAGCTGTCCTGTAACTCTCTGTAGACTAGGCTGGGCTTGAACTCACAGAACCTACCTCTCTGCCTCCCAAATGCTGGGATTAAAGGTGTGCACCACCACTACCAGGCGGATCCAGGTCCTTCTAAAGCTAGCCTCACAGCCCATTGAAGTGTAATGATATTTCATTTGTATTTTAATAATTTGTATTGCCTGAAGATCAGAGAGTAAAACAGCCACACTGGTCAGCCATACAGACCAGGCAGTGGTGGCACACACTTATAATCTCAGTAGCTATGCTAATTAACTATAGAGACCGGGAGGTGGTGGTACCTGCCTTTAATCCCAGCCCTAGAGAGGACTATAAAACAGGAAGAGACAGCACCCAGCTCAGTCTCATTCTGAGGATTCCTGGAAGCAGAATCACCTTTTCAGTCTGAGGTGGAGGTTAGAGCCAGTGGCTGGCTGATCTTTGCTTTTCTGACCTTCAGGATGAACTCCAATATCTGTCTCTGGGTTTTATTACTCATACTACATGGTGGTGTGGTTGGCCCCTGTCACCAGCCAGCACATCCATGGAGGGGTTGGTGTGTGTGGGCTATGTTCTAACTGAAGGGTTGGATGTTGTCTTCTGTCACTGCCCTGAGGTGGAAGCTTTTGGAAGCTTTGGTGTGGGTCAGAGGTCAGCAGTGGGTCCTAGGATCTGAGACTGTTGTATACATCAGGCCCTGCTCCAGAAAGTCAAGTGAGGTTGAAAGGTCACTACTTCTCAACTAAATCTCACGCCGAGAGGACGTGTGTCCACTCCCCCCCCCCCAGCACCCAAGAGGCCTATCCGTTGCCTCTAGAAATGGAAATGAGGGAGGATGCTAAGGATAGATAAGTTATCTTTTGTTTTGAGACCCAGTTTGTTTTTCTTAGGCTGGCCTTGAACTCACACAGCTGAAGTTAACTTTGAACTTCTGACCTCTCTGCCTCTGCCTGAGTGGTGAGATTACAGGTGTGTTCTAACGTAGCGCCCAGGTTACGAGATGCTTGGGCCAAACTGAGGGTTTCATGCGTGTTAGGCATGCATTCTATCAATTTAGCTACATCCCAGCCTTAAGGCATTGTTTTTTTTTTTTTGTTTTTTTTTTTTGTTTTTTTTTTTTTTGGTTTTCCGAGACAGGGTTTCTCTGTAGCTTTGGTGCCTGTCCTGGAACTAGCTCTTGTAGACCAGGGAGATCCGCCTGCCTCAGCCTCCCGAGTGCTGGGATTAAAGGCGTGCGCCACTACCACCTGGCAAGACTTTGTTTTGAAAAGCAAGATGATTTATCTTTATCCAGTGTGGTCCTTCTGAGGGCTTAAGTAGTCTGTGTGGGGTTTTTGTTTTGAGAGGGAGTTTCACTGCCTTGCTTTGGCTGGCCTGGAACTCTCCACGTAGTAGACCAGGCTGTCCTCAGATTCAGAGTTATTCTTTTCTCTGCCTTACCAGTGCTGTGATTTAAGGTCTGTGCCCCGTGCCTGAAGGTGTGTGTAGATCTCTTCTATTTGTTAATCTTTGTTTTTATTTATTGTGTTTGTGCAAGCATGCGGATGTGTGTCCGTATGTGGATCAGAGGACGACTGGGTGGGAGTGGGCTCTCTTTCATCACGTGGTCCCTGGGGGTCGAACTCAGGTTGTCGGGCTCCCCAGTCCTGTGTGGATCTTATCATCGTCACATGGCCACTATGTAACCATTTATGCATTCTGTCCTTATATAGAATTTTGTTTTATTTTGGGCTGGAGAGGGTGGCTGAGAGCATTTGTTGCTCTTGCAGAGGTCCTGGGTCTGATTCCAAGCATGGATGTGGTGACTCAGAACCACCCATAACTCCAGTACCAGGTAGTCAGAGGAGGGTACTCTTCGTGACTTCTGCCGGCATGGGGCACATGTGTGGTGCACATACATACAAGTAGGCAAAACATTCATACACATAAAATAAAAAAGTCCAATAAGCAGAATTATATCTTATTTATTTTGGAGAAAGACTGTGTCGCTCTGGCTGATTTGAACCTTGTGGCAATATTCCTGCCTCCTGAGTGCTAGGACTCACAGTGTACACCACCATGTCCAGATAACCCTTTGGGTTTGGCTCTAAAGTTTCCCATTTCAAAGATGAGCAAGCTGAGGCTGGAAGAAGGAAAGTCTCTCCTGGCTGGATGAGCATCAGGTGGCAGAGAAAAGCAAGTGGACACACAAGTGGGCTCCTGGGGGAGCAGACCACAGTCTGGCCTTGCTGGCATCAGAGGTCTTAGCTTCTTCTTTCTAAGGAAGCTGGGGTACAGCTCAGGCCACTGGGCAGGAGCCCTCACGATCATATCTTCCTCCACCTTCCTTTTAGCCGTTCACTGAACACGTACGTGTTCTTAGAGAGCCTGAGCTGGCCAGGCGCTGGTGAGGTGTTAAACTTTAAAAAAAAAGAAAAAAGAAAAAAAAGAACCAGACAGACCAGGTCCCTTTCTCCCAGTAGACCAGGAAGCTGGGGGAGCACCAGAGTGTCCTGGGACTGCCAACCAGGCTGTGTATGGTTGATTCCCTTTCTCTCTCCCTGCCCCATGTGTTTGTTTGCTGGGAGCCCGAGACACTTGGGAAAAGATGTGTATCCTTTATTAATTACTTTATTTTGTACATTTATTTATTCATTGTGTGTGTGTCAGAGAGAGAGAGAGAGAGAGAGAGAGAGAGAGAGAGAGAGAGAGAGAGAAAGCACAGTAGCATGCCTACACTTGCAGGAGTTGGCTTTCTCCTTCCACCGCCCCACCATGTGGGTCCTGGGAATCGAACTCAGGTTGTCAGGACTGGGTGACAAGCCCCTTTACCTGCTAGGCCATCTCACCTGCCCAGATGACACTTTCGTGATCGATCCCCTCTGGACAGGACATTGGCTAGAGAAGCATGTTGCGAGTCTGCACGCTTCCATGACAAGTGTTTTGCCCAATTCACTCCTTGTGTTTGCTCAGCATACCCCGAGAAGCCTCTGGCACATCAGTGGAGGCCTGGTCTTCGCAGGGCTGGTGCTCACACATTTTTCTTATTGTATTTTATTTTTTTTTTGTCTAACTTATCTGTTTCCATTTCTGTATCTCTTGGAAGTGATTTTCCCTCTGTCCCCATTGAAGGCCCCCAGGGACCTGCTCTAGTTGGCAAACACGTACACACTTTCTTTTATCCTTGACATGTGACTTTCCTTCCCAACCTCCCCATTACTAGTGTCCTTACAGTGGAAAACATGCAAATAACGTTGAAAAAACAGGCTCCTACCAAATGGGGATTAAAAAACAATAACTTACTCCATAATGCAATCTCATCCTCCAGTCATCCATCACGCTGGTATGACTAAGATGAAAGAAAACCCAGGCACTGCAGGGTTGCAGGCAGAGGTCCCCAGCTGGTTCCAAGCTATGCCTCAGACTCTCCCCACCCCCCACCCACATCAGTGATGAAAATGCTTCAGAAGCCTGGGGGGGGTGGATAAAGGAGGATTCTGGCATTCTCCAACCCGCCCTGATGAAATCTCACTGCACTGAACTCTACAGAGCAGTGAGTTGGCCAGTCAGCTCTGAGGAAAGGGCTCTGTGGGACACGGAGCCATGTGGACAGAGTTGCTGTGCCCACTGACAGGTGTATCCATCCCTAAAGCCAAACCAGCCATTCCATGGTTAAGCACTGACCTGTTACAGAATTCAGGCACTCTCTGCTGGCAGTTCCCACATTTTCTTGGGCATACAAGTTCCCCAGGGAGCTTGTTAAAGAGCAGAACACCACTCTAAGCCTGCCCTGGTCAGGCGAGTCAGGGCAGCTGGGCAGCCAGGGTTTAATAGGGTCCCCGGGGGCTGAGATACAGACTTTTTAGGCCTGCATTTTGAGAACTGCTTTGCTCATATTTTGGGTTAATCCTATCCCTGGCCTGCTATTTATCCCTTCCCGCGAGGAAGATGTAAATACAGGTTTGAAAGCTTCTGGGAAGGAGGGTGCAGGGATGTTTTAAAGCAATATTCTCTATGGAGACAGACTGAGACACTCTTATACCCCTGGAGGGTAGAGGCCAAGGCAGTGGTTCTCAACCTCTTTAATGCTGTGACCCTTTAATACAGTTCCTCACGTTGTGGTGACCCCCCCACCATAAAATTATTTTTGTTGCTACTTTATAACTAATTTTGCTACTGTTATGAATCTTAATGTAAAGATATGATATGCAGGATATTGGATACGGGACCCCTCTGAAAGGGTCATCCAGACCACTTCTTAACCTCAGGTTTCCTATCTGTTAATAGAAGGCTGTGAGTTAAATGGGCTGCTTTAGATCTATAGAGTGGGGATGTAAAGGCAGCATTTAGCTCCTAGGGCTAATGAAGGAATTAATATAAATCAGTTGGGGAAGGTAGAGTGATGGCTTAGTGGTTGGGAGCACTGGCTGCTCTTCCAGAGGACAAGGAAGGAGTGTTGGGTGTGGGGTTCAATTTGCAGCACCTGTATAGCGGTTCACAACCATCCATAGCTCCAGTTCCAGGAGTCTGACGCCTCTTTTGGCTTTCACCCGCACCAAGTACTCAGTGTCCAGACATGCATGCAGACAAAACACCCACGCACATAAATAGATGGAAATCAGGGTTTGTTACATAAAATGGTTCCATATTATGAATGTAATTCTCATACTAGTAAAATAATCTGAGGCCTTTTTGGCTCTTTTGGAATTCAGTGCGTGCCCTCTGCAGGTAGAACCCTGGAACAGCACTACTGCCCGCCCTGTCAGCTAGCTGCGTGACACAAGTCCTCAATAGGCTCCTCGGCAGAAAGAAGCCGGGAATCCACACCCTTTCTGAGGATTCAGCGAGTCAACCCACGGACACCCTGCCTGGGCGCCTAGCACTCGGCTGCTGCTTCCAAAGGTCAGCTATTGTGAAGCAACCGTGGGACATGCCATTCTTTAGGGAGGTCAACCCCCAAGAGCACTTCGATTCCGGTTGGGGGTGGAGCGTCTCGGGTGCATCTCGGACCTCCCCTGTCCCCGCCCCCAAGCCTGCGGATTCGCTTTCGGTTGGGCAGGCTGAGACTCCCGGGACGCTGACTCTGAACTAGCAGCAGATGTCGCTGCCCTCCCTTGGTCCCCAGCTGTGCTTTGCAGCTGGCTCTCACTTGCAGCTACATAAGGGAAATGCCCGGGCGGGGGAAACACAGCGATCCTGCGTAGAGGCCGCCGAAATCTCTTTATAGCTCCCACCTGAAGTCCAAAGGCGGCTTAGTTTACTCTCCTGAGATCCCTGTCGCTCAGGCGGGTCTCCGCCCCTAAGCCCCGCCCCCGAGACTGCTCCACCTCTCCCAGCAGGGTGAGGCTCGGATTGGACAGTTTCGGGGTGGGCGTGACCGATGGCAGCGCTGGATCCGCGGGAGCATCGCGGTTGTTACTGAGGCCGGGGGATACTGAGGGACCTGCGGAGGGTCCCGGCCGGTGGCTTCCGTCGCCCGAGCAAAGTTTCGAACCTGAGGCCGAAACCCGAGCCGACGATCGGAGAGGAGCGCGGAGAGGGCGGGATTTCCGCCGGGAGGGATCCGGCCGCTCAGGGGGTGGGGCTTCCCGGACTGGGCTGCGTTTCCCGCGTGCGGGGCGGGGTGCCGTGGGTCCCTGCTGACACCCTCCGCGCCCTCCCCCAGGCGGCCAAGGATGACCACGCTCACGCGCCAAGACCTCAACTTTGGCCAAGGTAGGGATCTGGGGCCTGCAGGACGTTGGGGTGGGGGCGGTCCTGACTGGATCCCTGCTCATCAACTGTGTCTCCTCGCACAGTGGTGGCCGACGTGCTCTCCGAGTTTCTGGAGGTGGCCGTGCACCTGATCCTCTATGTGCGCGAGGTCTACCCAGTGGGCATCTTCCAGAAGCGCAAGAAGTACAACGTGCCGGTTCAGGTGAGTCCCGGTGCCCGGCTGGATTTAAAAACCTTTATTCTACCTACAAGCTCCCTCACTCCCCAACGGATGCTGATAGCGGACAGCCTCCTGCCTTTCACCGCCACCAAGCTTTTCCCCTTTTGACCTCAGATGGGATCCTCTGGTTAGGGACCCTAGATAAGAACTATTCCAAGCTTGCGTTTTAAAGGGGTTTCCGAGGCTGGGAACCGTGGCTTGGGCAGAGCATTCCCACAGTGCCCAATACCTTTCTCTCCTCATTCTCCCTAAACTCTAAAGATTATTTTAAAAATTATTTATTATTGTTTACTTGAGATGGTGGTCTGACTGTGTAGGCATGGCTGGTGTGGACTTACACTATGTAGATCAGACTGGCCCCGAATGCACGGAAATCCTCCTGCCTCTGCCTCCTGAGTGCTGTGAACAAAGGCGTTAGCCACCATGCCTAGCTTTGTATTTTTTTGATATTTGTATTGTGTGTGTATGTACATGTGTCTATGTCTGCGTGTTTGTATGTAGGGGTGCCCACTGAGGCTAGAAAAGGGCATGGGAGCCCTTGACATCTGTAAGATGCCTAAGGTGGGTACTGGGGATCTGACTCAGGTATTTGAGTGGAAAGGGCTGTTAACTGCTGAACTATCTCTTTAGCCCCCCCTCCCCCTTTTAAATCCAGATCTCATGTTCTAGACTAGCCTGGGCCCAGAGCTGTTAGGAACTTAGGGCAGGCCTAGAATTCCTGATCCTCCTGCATCCGCCTCCCGAGTCATGTGATTACCAGGGAACATTACCAAGCTTCCTGTTTTTTGTTTTGTTTTCCTAGACAGGGTTTCTCAGTACGACCCTGGCTGTCCTGGAACTCTCTATGGAGACCAGGCTAGGCTTGAACTCAGAGATCTGCCTGTCTGCTGAATGCTGGGGTTAAAGATGTACGCCACCCTACATGGTTCCTGGGTTTAACTTTGAAAGGTGAAAGAGTGGACAGCTGTCTCTCTCCCAAGTGCAATCACTCAGTCAACCTGAGACTCATGACCTCTGACCACTGGGAGGTGGCAAAAGATGTACAGCTACCAGAAGGTGTAGAAGAAGGTGCTACTGGGCACCTTCTGGGCACTAGGAGTTTCTTATCAATCTTCACCTTTATTAGATCTTCCCAGATGACATCATTTAAGTTCAGAGATGTTAAGTCATTTGCCTGTGGCTACACAGCTCTTCCCCCTTCAACCCTCCCAGGTAGGGTTTATCTGTATAGCCCTTGCTCAGGCTGGCCTCAACTCAGAGATCCGCCTGCCTCTGCCTCCCCGAGTGTTGGTATTAAAGGCACATGTCACCATGCCTGACCCTATACAGTTTTTTTAAAATATTTATTTATTATGAGTACAATATTCTGTCTGTGTATATGCCTGCGGCCAGAAGAGGGCACCAGGCCCCATTACAGATGGTTGTGAGCCACCATGTGGTTGCTGGGAATTGAACTCAGGACCTTTGGTAGAGCAGGCAATGCTCTTAACCACTGAGCCATCTCTCCAGTCCCCCCTATACAGTTTTTGTTTAGCTTTTCAAGACAGGGTTTCTCTGTGTAGCCCTGACTGTCCTTGAACTTTGTAGACCAGGCTGGCTTCAAACTTGGGAGAGCCACCTGCCTCTGCCTCTCAAGTGCTGGGATTAAAGGCGTGTGCCATCATCGCCTGGCTCTATACAGCTTCTTAATGTTAATGTCAAATGCTGGTGCTGAGATGGAGTGCCTGTCTTTGTCTCTCCAGGGATAAATCTATCCATAGTTCTTACTACCATGATGGTGAGTTTGATCTTGCAGGCAGGGAGACCTTGGGAATGGCTGTTGTTTGTTCAGAACCCAGCAAGTGTGTGTGTGTGTGGTGGTGGTGGTGGTGGTGTTCCCCCACTCATCAACAGCCTTGTGGGGTTGTATGCAGATGTCCTGTCACCCGGAGCTGAACCAGTACATTCAGGACACTCTTCACTGCGTCAAACCGCTGCTGGAGAAGGTGAGGGGGCCCCAGGTCCTAAGGGACACCCCATACCTCTTTGCTTCTGGGCTGACTCTGTGGGGAGTGCTCGTATCTCTTAACAACCAGAAGCTTCCACCCCCCAGCTAGCAACAGGTTCCAGGGCATGTAGGTCACATCTAGGGTGGGCCAGATCTGGGTGGGCCTGCCCTGGGTGATCCTGGGTGCCCTGGTCCTTCTCATGTCCCCATGGCCTGCCCCATCCCTGCATCCCTGTTCCCCATTCTCTCTGGGCTGGGCACCCTTGGGTTTTTTCTATTCTATCTTGTCCTGGTCTAAGACTTGCTGGGGAACCTTCATGGGAGCCAGGCATCGCCTACAGGACTATAGCATTCATGTCTTGGGAGCCTACTTGCACTTCTTGCTTGCTGGACTCCCAGGCAGCCTCAGCCAGCGCCCTGGGCCCTGCGCATAGCTCTGGAGCAGGGGTTCTTGTGCTTACAGAACGATGTGGAGAAGGTCGTGGTGGTGATTTTGGATAAAGAACACCGTCCGGTGGAGAAGTTTGTCTTTGAGATCACCCAGCCGCCCTTGCTGTCCATCAGGTAGGTGAGCTGTCACCCTCCCTCGGCTGGCTGCTGCAGTCTCTCACCGGGATCCCTCTACCGGCTCCACATGACCCTAGTAAAGACCCTGAGATGGCAATACATACTGTTAGCACCTGAGACACCCTGGCCACAGGCCATTGTGAGTGGTGCAGAGGTGACGTGGTCAGCCTGTGCCATCCCTGAGGTATCCCAGGGAATGGTGATTGTTAGTTCCTAGCCTTACTGTGTAGACAGAAAAACCAAGGTCCTGAGAGGTGACCTGTGTGGTGTCACCCCGTGATTATAAAACCCAGGACTCTGGTTGCCATGGTGTCAACTTCTTGCTCTCTGTGCTGAGGTAGGGGTAGTGGAATCAGGATCCAGCCTGTCCCCTGGCTAGGCGGCCTCCAACAAGCACTTTCTCCTCTTGTCGTGGGGTCCTGAAAGTATGCAGGGGCTTGAGCTGTGCCCTGGGTGTCTTCTAGCTAGCTGAATATTAAAACTGCCTAAAGGGACCCCTGCACCCTGCCTCCATTCTGTCAGGGGTGGGCCTGGACTGGCTCTCTCAGGCACCAAAGGAATTTGGCCCAGTCTGCTTCCAGAGTGCACTGTGTGCTGGGGGTGGCGGAGGAGCACGGTAGAATGGGAGACCTCCTTTCCCATTCCCAGTTCAGACTCCCTACTGTCTCATGTGGAGCAGCTGCTGCGAGCCTTCATCCTGAAGATTAGTGTGTGTGACGCTGTCCTGGATCACAACCCTCCAGGTCTGATGCCCCACTCCCCCACTGTTCCCCTGGTTACCTCGGCATGCTGTGTTCTTCCTAGTTAGCTGCCCTGAGCCACCCTCTTTCCCCGCCCATCAACACCCGAGGTTCATCTCTCCAGGACTAACTGTATTTCTAGCTCCCGCTGACACTGTCTTTTCCATTGGCTACACTGTACATCTTGTGGGATCCCGAGGCTACCTACCTTTGCCCTTGACCAAGCAATCCCTCCGCAGGCTGCACGTTCACAGTCCTTGTGCACACGAGAGAAGCTGCCACTCGAAACATGGAGAAGATACAGGTCATCAAGGTGTGTGTATGCGCGCGCATGTGTGTATGTGTACCATTTTCAGGGCGCTGCCTGTGGCTGACACTTGTTTACGACAGTGCCTGGCATCAAGTGGGCTCCCTTGCGCGTTACCCACCTGACCACATCCGTGTGTACCCAAGGGTGAGAAGAACCACAGTGGAGCCAGGTGTTAAACAGCTAGCTCACCCTGGCTCTTCTGAACAGAGTTCTCCAGAGAAGGGCCCTTACCCTTCAGTTTCAGAATCATTTAGCACCACACTGGGAATATAAATTGCTGGGGTTCCAGTGCCCCCCCCATGCAGTGTGGGTCCTGGAGGGGAAGGTTAGCCAAGTGAAGACAGACTGAGGTGTGGCTCCTTCTCATTATCACCGGTCCCATCCCTAGGATTTCCCCTGGATCCTGGCAGATGAACAGGATGTCCACATGCACGATCCCCGGCTGATACCCCTAAAAACCATGACATCGGACATCTTAAAGGTGAGCTGTCAGGGATCAGACTATGGAGGAAGCCTTATCTAGGAGACTCAGGGCCCAGAGCTAATTCCCGGCTAGAGCGTGTGCTGCCCAAGGTCTGGGGGTTACCCTCTAGTTTCCACCCCTTCCTGAGTCTTGCCAGCAGATACCTCATGGTCTGACCAAAGCCAATTCTCTACTAGATGCAGCTCTATGTGGAAGAACGTGCTCATAAAAACAGCTGAAGGCATGCCTGCCACCTGATGCCCAGCTGCACCACTCGGGGGCCCCAGCCCAGGGCAGTGCTGCAGGGCCCCCCGACTCCAAGTGCTCTTATCGCCTTGACATGTGGCCGCCCCTCTGGCTGGGATGCTCGGTCCTGCTTGCCTTCTTGAGGCAGCCTTCCCCGGAGGTTAGGGAAGAACGCAAGGACAGACACCATTTCTCAGCAGCCTCCTGGGGCTCAGCCGGCTAACACCGTCCATCTGAAATACTGTGTTGTGAATTATTGTTAATAAAGGGGCCCCAAGGGCTGACTGTATTGTCATTAACCAAAACAGGAGAAGCGAGTGCAGGAGGAGAGGGGTGCCGGAACCCCACCTGCATGTAAACCCCAAACCAGGCTGGATTTACTGAAAACATTTATTACAACAAAATGTCAAGGCCGGCTTGATGGGTTTGCCAGAGGCTGTAGGGCAGGTGCTCCTGGGACTGGGAACCTGACTGCCGGCAGAGGTGGACAGATGGCTGTCAGAGAAAGTCTACCAACGGATGCATTTCTGCATCCAAAGAAGGGTGTCTTCCGCCCATCACTACGGCATCTTCAGGCGGAGGTCTGGCAGGGGCGGGGTTCTTGGCTGTCCTGTGGCTGATAATGATGCTGCTGTTGGTGACGCGGGGCCCGTACCAGCCTTTCCAGAACTGGGTGTCCTGGCCCCCATGTTGAAAGAGGATGTGGCGGACGCCTGGAGGGTAATCCGAGAAGGTATGGGAGACCTGGGGAGGAGAGAAGCAGCCATTGAGACTGGGGAGCAGGAATGTAGTTACTGCAGAACAATTGCCCCTCATTCTTCCACAGCCTGACCCTGGGGAAAGCGAGTGGCAGAGCGGGCAGGTGGGGTCTCACCTCCTTCCACGTGGCATCATTCCACTGCTCGATGGTCACAGGTGGAGGCTCGAAGGAGTCCAAAATGATATAGTCGGCCGAGGCCAACTGTACCCGGATGTGATAGGTGCAGCCACAGTCTGCTCTGGGGGCAAACCTAGGGAGGATAGAGCCGAGGGTGGGCACCCCTGCTTTCGAAGGCTGGCTTTGAGGACAGCTCCCATCTGTAAGTACCCCTCTGTCCATGACTGCTAGCAGGCTCTGCACTCCGTGTCCAGAGGCATCCATCTACATGTTGCCTCAGTTTTCCATCCAAGAAAAGGGTGTGAGCTTGGAAACCAAAATGGTCTTCTATGAAGATGTCTTTCTAAGTCTGTCACCATGTGGTCAGTGGATGGGAACCCATGCAATGGCCTGCTTAGAGCTTGTTCCATTATTCCCAGGGGATTGGTCCCCAGAGTCTTGTGCCAGTGACTATAGGTGCAGAGGGGGACTTGGGAAAGGACAATAGGGAAGGGTTGAGGTTGGAGCTTAGCAGGGGAGAGTACGACAGCCTGAGACAGGTCTGGGCTCCAGCCATAGCACCAAAGAAATTGATACAAGATGGAATAACTGGGGGGAGGGGTGGGAAGCACTGTGTAAGAAGGCTGTGAGCTGCCACAAAACTCAGGGAGGGCCCGAGTCCTGGGGTCCCAGGGCAGTTAGCTCATCGGAGGCCTCAGTGGCCATTTACAAACACGGTTGAAGTTTTGTGCCAACTGTCACAGTGGCTTGGCTGGAGGGAAGACACAGGATGGGGACAAAGGCCACTCACCAGTCTTTAATGACAATGTCGGGCCGGAAGGTGTCCATCAGCTCCTCCCAGTAGCCCTCAGCTTTGAGGTCCACCACCTGGGACTTGAGGCACATGCTGGGGACAGAGGACAAGACTTGCATTGCCAGTGTGCTAAACAGGGTCCTTCCTTACCAGGTAGACGGCTCAAGGGGCTCCCCATCCCCCACTGGACAGACCCTGGCTGAAACTCCTCGGGTCTGTATGAAGGAAATGGGGCGTTAGATCTGCTTTTCCCTGGGTAGTGTTTGATCCCATGGGACACTGTGGAGAGTGGTGTGTAGCTGGCTCCTGCTCACGGCTTTATGTTCAGTGAGCTCCTGGTTACCTGAAACCCTCTCTCTGACTGCCAGCAACCCGCCACTAAGTTCACTGCTCCTGGACCCCTATTTGGGACCCCCTCCTTGAACTTCTAGAGGCCCCCACTTATCCTGGCCGTTGGCAGGGTCCCCCCGACTCTCTACCCCCGGCATGGCCTCCTCCAGCCTCCCAGCCTCTTCCACATCATTGCTTACCCATAAGAAGTGACGAAATATTTCTTGACCCTGGGATCAGGAAAGTTTGTGCCATGTGCGCCAGGGAGGCTCTCCACCTTCCACTCATCCCCGCCATTGTAGTCTAACCGCCATGATCCCATGTTCTCTGGAGAAAAGCATAGGTGAGATTCCCTTCAAACTCTGCCAGCAGTTTCAGCCTTGAGGTACACACTTTGAGGCCCATTCTGGTCCTGGCAGACTTGAGGGGGTTATGAATCAGCTTGCTTCTTCTCCTGGACGGTACTCAGCAGCCATGGATAGCACCCCCACCAGTCCAAGAACATCCTCTGTGCCTTGGGTCCCCCACATCACCTCTGACTTCAGTTTCACCCCTTTCTACTCTGCCCCAAACAATAGGACTGAGAATTCTGAGCTACATCTCACTTCTCATATTGCCACGGGGCCCCCACAACCACATTCAATCCTCACAGACTATGATCACAAGGGGTCTGTGATGGAGCTGACCTTAGGGCTGATGGGAGCTGTGTGACCCAGATCCTAGGGGCCAAAGGAACCTACTGTTCCGACACCATTAGATACCCTTTTCCTGGGCAAGTGCCAAGATGGCACATTGGTGTCCCCTGAGCTAGTAGCTGCAGGAATCCTGTGTAGGGAGGGACCTTCAGGAATGGGGTCAGATCCAGGGACTCCCCTCACCCTTCAGGCTAAGCATAGCAGACCTTGAAAAGCTCCAGCGACCAGGTGAGCTCTGCCGTTCCACTCGCCCATCCCCCACGAGCTCAGTGTTCCATGTATTCTAGGGGGCTCCCCAACATAGAACCAGAAGAGTGAGAGAATTTGGGGTGCTGGGAGATTTAAGCAAGGCTAGACATGGGGGCCACATAAAAGGTCAAGAGTGGCTTGGTTAGGTGTCCTGAGCTGAGCTGGCAGCCTGGCTGGGCAGCTTCTGAGTGGAACCGGCCATGTAGGGAGATCGAGTGTCTGAGGCACGGCCTGTGAGTCTGGACTGGCCTGAGCCTTGGTCATCCTCCAACAATGGCCATTCTGAGCGCTAAGTCAAGCGACATTTCAGGGCTCAAAGTACTCTACAATGTCGACAACCACTCCCCACTGTTTGTCTGACCTTCCAGAATCACAGCGGGGACAGGGAAAATATGCCAGACATTCGAAGTGTACAGACAAGGCCTCTTTCTCCTTACAGAGTCCACGTAGCCCTAGCTGTCCTGGAACTCATTTTGTAGATCAGTTTAGCCTTGAATTTACAGAGATCCGCCTGCCTCTGCCTCCCTAGTGCTGGGATTAAAGGTGTTCACCACCAATCTGGCTCAGGCGTTCACCCAGGGAGTGAAGATGGCTAGGCAGGCAAGGGATTCTTGCTGGCAAGCCTGAGTTGAATCCCAAGGATCCGCATGGGTCCCTCTGACTGCCACATGCACTCACCCCCCCAGTCATGCGCACAGAATAATGTAATAGATGAAGGTCTAGGTAGGTCTGAGGCCCAAACAGCAAGGAACAAGAGCGCGGTAAGTATTGGGGACATGGGAACATTGCAGGCAATGCCGCAGAGCAAGCACAAAGGTCCGGAGGTTCAGGAAAGTAGACAGCAGGCTCTCACGGCAGCCTGGCCTTTACGAACCGCCCCCCGCAGCTCACCTTCGGCACACGGGTTCCGAAGGAGGTTCCTCTGCAGGCTGCATAGGAAATAGAAGATCTTCCAGTCTTCCACGGGCTCTTCCCAGTCCTTGGTGATGAAGCCGTCTTGCAGGCTCTTGCGCTTCCACAGCGTCACCACGTCGATGAGGTCTCGCCAGAGGCTGCAGACCAGACGGCAGTTACACAGCAGCTGGCGGGCCGGGACGTGGGTGAACAGCTCCAGCAGAATGTTCTCGGGCAGCTCATTGATGTTGACCATGGTGGCGACAGGAAGCTCTGCTTCCAGGCCTGGGAGTGGTAGAGGATGACAGTGGCGGTGAGCCGGCGCGGAGATCCGAAAAGACTGACTCCTCCCCTCCCAAGGTTCTAGAGCTAGGCCGGTCTTCCTCTGACCCGAAACCCTTAGAGGAAGCACTTATAGGGTGGGGGTGGGGCAGGGTCCTTGAGCTCGCTGGAACCCTGCTACCCGCCTTAGGCAAAGGGTGACAAGAATGCGGTACCAGACTGAGCGGCTTGAGCTCCAGGTATCAAGAGTCTGCTAGGGCCGGGTGGTGGTGGTGCACGCCTTTAATCCCAGCACTGGGGGTCGGGGGTGGGGATGGGGGGGAGGAAGGCGGGTGGATCTCTGTGAGACCTAACAAGAGCTAGTTCCAAGGATAGGTTCCAAAGCTACAGAGAAACCCTGTCTCGAAAAAAGAACAACAAAAAAGTCTGCTTGGGCTATTCGGATTCTAGGTCAGCTCAGCCTGGGCTGGTTTTCAAAAACGGCTACGAGAACAAAATTAAGCTTTTAAAAATTCTTTGCAGTGCTAGGGATGGAACCTAAGGCCTCTTGCACGCCACTGAACTGTATCCCCGGCCTTGAGCCCAGCAGTTCTAAGCCAGTTTGGGCAGCAGAACAAGGCTTCATCTCCAAAAAAGAACAAAAAACAAAACACAACAACCACAAAAAGACAAGATTCTTAAACGCCCCCCCCCCCCACTTAAAAATAATTGTTTAGGAGCGGGGTCTGGTGGTGAATTTTTGTAATTCCAGCACTTGGGAAAGAGGATCCAAGATTTCTAAATAAGCCTGGGTTACAGGAAACCCCTCACCTCAAACTGCTTTGTCTTAGAACCAGTTGGCCCCTTGACCCGGAAAGAGTCTTCCAGGGCCACTCCACAGTTCCCTAAGTTTTCCGTGTCTAGTCCTGACGTCACTGCAGTAAAACTTCCTTTTTATGGCCCAGGTGCTGTCATGTTGCCTTAGGCGTTACGTGATTGGCAGGCCAGAATGGGGGAGTGTCTGTAAGCTCTAGGTCATTCCCGCCCCCTCACCTGCCCCTGGGCGGGGGTGGGCTGAATCGGGCTCTAAGCTGTCACTCAAAAGAGCACAGCTGCCTAAGCCTGGGGAAAACGCTTTTCCGGGGAAACAAACTCCCAGGAAGCTGGTGGTTTTGTGAGGGC